TTTCAAGTATTAGAAAACATCTTTGTCAAAATATTGGAACAATAATTTTTGTGATATTAGAAATATTAAATATGTGTTAAATTTGTAATGCGCATTTGCTGTTTTTACAGAATAAAAAGAAAAAGAAGGATAAGAAGAAGCACAAACACAAACATAAACATAAACATGATCATAAACATAATAAAGATAAAGAGAAAAAAGATAAGGATAAGGATAAAAATAAAGATAAGGATAAGGAAAAAGAAAAAGATAAAAGCAAGGACAAGGATTCATCCGCTTTAAAAATTAAAGATGAGACTCTCAGCTCTGGAAGTTCTAGTCAAAGCCCAGAGCCAACTGTCACCAATGAACTTCTATTTCCTTAGAATAGGAAGATTTCATATGTTATTGATATACACATGTTTAATTTTATTTCTATCGTTGTTCAAATTTTAGATAATTTATAAGTAATCAAGAAGCAATGAAATGTAAATTTATCCTGTATATGTACATATAATACATACATTTCTAATTTATTTTATAAATATTTTATAAACATATTACAATGTATATAGTAAGAAAAATAACATTAATAAGGGCATTTCATTAAATATAAATATAAAAAACCAATTGAATTACCTATTGATATACTACATGCAATACGCAATAAAAATTAAATGGTTATTTACAATTTTTTTTGTAGTTATATAACAATAAGTAAATTCATTTTTGTTAATTAGACATTACTGCAATCATAAATGTGTCAATCCTGTTGAATAAGTAATTTAAATAAAATTTTTTTTTTACTTGGTGTACAAATTAGTTCAGTCCGTTTTTTTGTGTTCAAAAATGCATTTATTTCAAAACAAAACGAATGAACGGATTAATTAAAGTATTGTCCATCGCTACTATTTTTTCCCATCTCGGGCCATTTTCAAATTTTATCTCGAAAAAATGACTCTTCTTTGAAGACGATCATCTTTTGGAAAATGGACCAACCGTGTGTTTCCACGGGTATATATTTATCCAGAGCAATCCGCACGTTGAGAATAGATATATTCGCGTTTTGAAAAGTACTCGTCGGAAATATCCATGATTACGTATAATTTAATTTACGAATTTTGTGTAACACCGGTAAACAGATTCCACCTAAAGTGCGGATCTGATTATTACGGTTTTCTTCGATGTCTCTGATTGTTCCGTTTTATCAAATTTGAAATTTAACGTCTAATTCGTTACCAACAGCAGAGACGCGCTCATATTTGAATAGCCGTTGGGCGCTCGATAGGATGGCGTCCGTGGCGTTGCGGCAATTTCGAAGGGACTAGTAACTTTTGAAAATTTTCGCAACGACCGAGATAATGGCAGATAATCAACAGAGCCGATTCGAGAAGTCGCTGGGACTGCTGACTACTCGTTTCGTGTCTTTGCTTCAGAAAGCGAAGGACGGCGTGCTGGATTTAAAAGTCGTGAGTATTTGAGGATCTCGCAATGGCTCCGAAAAAGTTAACCTTACTAGGTTAAGTGACCGCGGCCGTGTACACGTCATACTTGGGGTTGCGGGAATTTTGAAAGAAGTGCGCGGCAAGGAAATCGTTTCCATACGCCTCGACGTTCCTCGGTTACGCCGGACGTTACCGTCCTTTGCCGTAAAGCTACGGGCCGATACCTGGTATGGACGACACGCCGACAGCATTACAATGTCGTTAACACGCGATCCTACCTTAACCTATAAGAATTGCGGAGCTCTCAGTAGGGCGCCTCTATGACTAACCGAAGCTGCTAATCTACGACATTCTACGACTCACGAACTTTACAGGCTGCCGATCTTCTGGAGGTACGACAGAAACGACGCATCTATGACATTACGAATGTCCTTGAGGGCATTGGTCTTATAGAGAAGAAAAGCAAGAATAGCATTCAATGGAAGTAAGTGCTATTCTTTTGTTTTCATTTTAAGAATATTCCATTTATCCATTTTTGTCCTACGACAAAAGATAGAGAGGTACTTGGATCTCTCTGTCCTACAATCAACAGGCTTGAAAAAGTTGTCATATGATAAAAACATACAAATGTAACTCACTCCAATCTGGTTATCTTTTTCCTACGAGATGCACTTTGTGAATTTATGTTTAAAGGGGTGCAGGACCTGGCTGCAATACTCAGGAGGTTGGTGAAAAATTAACAGACTTAAAGGAAGAGATCAGCAAACTAGAGGACCATGAACAGTTATTGGATACTCATACCCGATGGATTCAACAAAGCATAAAGAATATAAAGGATGATAATATAAATAAGAAATATGCATACATCACATATGAAGATGTTAAAGAGAATTTTGTGGATCAATTTGTATTAGGAATACAGGGACCCCCAGATATGGAAATAACAGTACCAAATGTCTTGAAGGTATTCAAAAGAATATCTAAAAAATGTTTGTTCCATTGCATTGCATTCCTAAGTAGATTAAAGTTTCCCAACTAATATTATTGCACGTTTTGTGAAAAGAGATTATCAATTTAGAAGATTAAACTTGTTTTTAATTTGTTCATTATAATATTTTTGGAAGTTTTAGTCTTTCTTAAAGAGAATAACAAATCTAGAAATCAAAGATTTGTTAGTTAACTACTTTAAAGCTGAAATATCCAATATTCCATGTCTAGAAAATATTTGATACAAATTGATATATATTTATCTTTCATATTCTTATTTTTTATACATTTGATAGACTGTTATACAAGACGATACAGTGATAAATTATAACATGATTCTGAAAAGTAATTTGGGAGAAATTAAAGTGTATATGGTCCAACCTGAGCTAGCTAAAACTTACGATAATAAAGTATTAGAAATGAGATTACAAGAAGAAATAAAGGGGACAAAGCGTGGAAATGAAGATGAGAAAAAAGAGGAAGTTATTGTTAAACCAAAGAGGAAAGTTGGAAGGTAAGTGGAAATATAAAGAAGATATACAAGATTATTTATGCTCTAATCGTGTCAGGAATAATAAAATAATATTCCTGATCTGCACAGAGCAAATAGTATAATTGGTAATTGCCAATTGATTTTGTAAAGGGGATGAATAGTTGTCAAGCATAAACTATTCATTTGGTACAAAATGCACACTTATATATTATCTTATTTCTTAAGATTATAGTTGTATTGAAATACATTTAATTTATTTCAATATTAGGCCACCAAAAAATAGTACTAAACCAGATCCGGTATTAACTGATGAAGAAGAAGAAGAAGATTCGGAATTAATAGAGGCTAAAATAGTCTTACGTGATGTAAGCACCACAGGTAAGTATTTTATTTTCAGTTGCATTTATTTGTTATATTCTTTACAATGTAAAGTTTTTAAAAAAGTTATGTTTTTAATTATTTTTAATTATAGATATTGTCCAAAGAGATTTGGAGTTTCTTGATCAATTATATTCTGACTGTAAGTCGAACCTTGGACCGTTATTCATAGTTTGATTATATATTCAAAATTGTCTTAAGTACGAGTCACTATAGTCATTTCCTTTGTTGAATGGAATCTTAATTCTCTGTTGTCTGCAATCTTATTTTTATTTCTTCCGTCTGTAATCTGGGTCTTTTTTTTGTTCAGCTTAATTTTTTTCTAGACTCAAAAATCTAATAAAAAGATTTAGGGATATTTTTCAGCATCTCGATTACATTGCTAAACCGATGTAATGTGATATTTAGGAGAGGAAACCTTTATTTCGGAGAAACTTGAAAGTAAAATTTTGCTTAGACTAAAAAAAGACCCAGATTATAAATTAAAAAACTATCCATGATCAAACTTGAAGCAATTTTGAATTTAAGATCGGATTGTAAATACTGTGCCTTTATATTTTTTTTATATATACTTTGACAATTAATTATATATAATCATGTCTATATGAATTTCATTTGCAGTTTGCGGACCGTTAATGAGATTAAGTCCACCTCCTGGAGAAAAAGATTACCATTTCAATCTTAGTGAGAACGAAGGTGTTTGTGATTTATTTGACATTACGACATAATGAGTGTTAAGTTACGTAGCTTTAATATGCGAAATGGAGACTGTGCCAACAGCATGCAAAGTTAATCAGAAAAATCTAAAATCATTGAGGAGAATTTGTGCATATAATTTTAGGGAAATTAATAGATCACGATCATTGAGAATATACAATATTTTTTTATTATTAAAAGTATGGAAAATTAGTACGAGATATTGTGGAGATATACAACCTGTTCTAATCGCTGTTTATTTCACATTTACATTATCGAGACTAATTCCACGTTTTAAAGGCATTTTTTAAATAAAGATCTAGAGATTATCCTTATAGCTTTTTGGCTCACTTCATGTTTGCTTCATATAAATATTATTCAATGAAAATATATAATTGTTCTTTGCAATAATTGTCTATTTCAGGAAAGATACTTACTGATGAATGCGTACAATCAAAAAGAACAAAAATTTTCTATAGATTGTAATGAACGATATTATGAAGCAAGTTTTTAAATATTGGATTTTTGTAAGAACTTACATGCACATATCTCTAATATAAAAGGCAACGTGATTAGAATAAATGTATATTAACGTATTTGTACGCGCTCATTCGACATTTTTTAATATTTTACTAATTATATTCAGATCTTTACTGCTAGCAACGTGCATAGATCTAATTTATATTTATGTACAGTACATCTTCTTTATTACAACATCAAGTCAATTGTATTTCATAATACAGCTCTCATGTCCGATTATATTATCTGAATATATGACTGCAGAAACTCGACATTTCGTTTTCTATGATTATACATATACTCATATGAGATCGCACTACATATTGTGGGATACCAATATTATCGACTCCCCTCGAGCTCTCTACATTACCAGAAAGTTACGCAGCAGCGACCGGGCGATTGTGCAATGCGATTCAACGAAAAAACGCCTGTATCGGCGGATGACGTATACCAAGGACAGATAAGAATGGATCGACTAATTTCGTCATCGCCAGCTGTCGTCAACACCTGTTCCGTCAACGTCGAGAGTCGAGGGGTACTCAGTCTGGTCCGGTCAGTCATTCAAGTCATGTCGTAGCGGGAATCACGCGAGATCTCCAGATGCAACGGTTCATCAAATCTGGCGACGCATACGCACGCAGCCTGTCAAAACCGAACGCAGCGTTTTCTAAGGAACGTCGCACGATTCACTACTTCTACGTTCGTTCCCCTGTGACGCTACGGAAGGTAACCGATTATAGCGTGGCTCTCATGTCTCATGGGACAACAATATGGGGTGACGTAATGCTTCATGAAAATTGTGAAACTCGTACTTCATAAGTTTATATGATGGTTCTTAAAAAATAAATTTATTGTTTGTTACTGTGTTATATATACCATAGATGAAGTAATGATTTCGATAAAGCTCCGATTAACTTGATCGACGATTAATTTGTCAGGTAATCCAACGAACTTATGGTTCGTGATAAAATTATTTTTTGTTTGTTAAAATGGAAGATTAGAGATAAGGAATAACCTGGAATGATGAATTATATAGTCTCAAATTTTGCTAAAATTCATCGGTTAAGTTGATCGAGATTTAATTGAAGATTTACAAAACAATAAAAAAGAGTGATTATACTTAGCAATGCTCCGAAATTTTTCTCTCAGAATATTAATTTTTATAACTATTATTTTTTTAAATTAAATAATTATTCAACCTTCTTGAAATGCATTCAGATTACTGAATACATAATTTTAGTACACTGTTCAAAGTTATTTTTTCCTTGAATTTTACAAAATATAAAGATCTGCGAATATATAGAAGTTTGTGCAATTATTGAAATTTTAATGAATTTATGTAGCAATTTATGTGATAATGATGCATTATAAATATTTGAAACGTTTGTACAATTATGAATTAAATATATTATATAAAAAGTTATAAATTATACAAATATTTTTATATTGACGGTCGATAATGTCTGTATCCTTTATTTCCGGGTCTATAGAACCCATTTGAAGATCAAAAGTTTATTTAAAATTAGGTACATTATATAGTGCATATCTCGATAATGTAATATTGATTTTATAAATATAGTATTGTTTATAAATATAGTAAAAATAATAATTTATTTATTTACATTTTTGCAGCCTAGGAAATTTGAAAATGAGAATAATATTTGTAAAATTTCGCGAGATTTCGCAAAAATATCCTATTGTTCGAGGCATGGCGTCCTACTCAATTATATGGCCAACTGCAAATCTGTTGCAACAGAAGATAATGGGCAAAGAAGAATTTAATTACACAGAAGCTGTGCGATTTAGTTTGTACGGTGGTCTTTACGTAGCGCCAACATTATTTTGCTGGCTAAAATGCGCTTCTCACTTCTGGCCGAAAGCGGATTTGAAGTCTGCAATCATTAAGGTGTGCATATATAATGAAAATTAAATAATTTATATTATTCAATATTATTGCATGATAAATTAAATTTATTCATGGAAATAAAAAAAAAACAGCTCTGTAAACACTAATTGACAATAAAATAATTGTAGGCTTTGATTGAACAAGTTACATACGGTCCTGCAGCTATGTGTTCCTTTTTCTTTGGCATGAGTCTTCTTGAATTAAAGCCAGTTTCGGAATGCATTGACGAGGTCAAAATTAAATTTTGGCCAACATACAAGGTATCATATTCTCAATAGATTCTCAAGTTCGAAATTAGGTGAATTAACGTAAAATAATTTTTTTCTAGATTGCTATTTGTATATGGCCAATTCTGCAAACCATCAACTTCATCCTAATTCCGGAGCGAAATCGTGTTGTATATGTCAGCGTATGTAGTTTGATCTGGACGTGTTTCCTTGCATATATGAAATCTCTTGAAGCCAAGCATAAACAGAAAGAGCTGATTAACATTACTAATGTTAATTCCAAGATAATATCAGAAAGTAAAACACAAACCAATGAAAGAGTTAATCATATGCAGATTCCTCTACTACGATAAAAGTTTTAGGAAATACAGAAATTGACATGCTCTATTAGATTAATTTATTTGTACATATTTGTAATTGGAAGCAATATTTATATTATACTTTATGATGTAATTCACATAATATGATTATCTGTGATATTCACAGTACAAAACTATTACCTACATTTGCAGGAATATATATACGTATATATATA